TTTTTAAAAGGATCTTTCTGAATTCACAAATCATCTGAAAATTTTCACAACAGGAATAAAATAAATAGAAATACAAAACACGTCACATTAAAATATGATTAGAAGATTAGACTAAATTGTTATATTTGTAGATTTGTCTCCACAAATTTTCTCTGTCTTAAAATAACTTTGCCTACATGGGTTTTCAAAGTATGACTAGTTCATTAGCAAGCATTTATTCAGCATCTACTGTTCTAGGAATCAGGCAGGGAACCAGGGGAGTGTATGGTTTCTGAAGACAAGCTTATATAGAGAGGGGTTCCAATACTGTGGTTGCAGAAAACAAACTTTAATCAAACTATGACCATCCAGTGGAAAACAAACAAGATAAGAAATTCCTCTGCTTTAAGGAGAAAACCTGACTTTTAGCTATTCATGTCATTTTATCAAACACTTATCTCCCCATTCTAGATGGATCTTGCTCACGTGATCTTTATTGGTTAATCAGATTCAGAAAAAATACATGACTTATTTCTCTGACAAGTTTCTCTTCAGTAAAAAGGGGGGGGGGGAGAACTTTGTATTCAGCTAAAAGAGCTATAAGTTAAAATTCTATTATCCATAAGTTAGGTGGGATAACTTTAGAGTTTCAATAAGTTATTAAGAAAAATATATTCGGAATACTTTAGAGTTTCAATAAGTCATTAAGAAAAATAAATACAGAATAACGTATTAGTAAAATTTTAAAAACATTTTTTACCTGAAATTGAATTACATGGGAAATCCCTACATTTGAATTTAAATTAAAAGTGGACAAGTCCAAAACCCGAGGTGTATGCAGTGAACTGAGGGCAGATGATTGCTGGCCTACCGCAGTCATCTTCTATGCCCGTCTAGTAGCTTAAGGTTTGACTCTTCACATAGAAAAATGATATCTAAAAATAGTATTCTGCAAAATTCTAAAGAAATACCTGAAAGAAGGTGCTACAATGTTGCATTACAAGGCACCTTCACTTCAACTTTTACATGACCTTAAGTCTTCCAGTGCCATGTCCAGTCACAATATCCTACTCAAGAAATGAGGTTAATATATTAGTGTGAAATGCTGCATTACTAAGCTGATCTAAGCACCTCATAAATGTGGCTACATCTTCAGATACAAAGGACCCCATGGTTTGTGCCTCTGTACTCTCAATCCACTTTGTTATAGGCGGTATTTCTGTAGATTGAATCATCACCCTTAATTTCTAAAGAAACAGATTGTTTGACATATATTCATTTGGGTACAGCTAAGTAATAGTTAAGGAATTCAATGAAACTAAGTATACGATGTTCAGTTTAGAACAGCTGTTTGGTCCTAGCAGCCTTTACTAGAGGAATTCCAAATTATATCATGCATTACCTTTCAGATTTTGAAGCTGAGTTCATATATAGTCTTTGGCATACATTTAAACAAAAATCACTTTTTAAAACAAAATTTTTTACTTTAGTACAGAAAGCAATGCTATATACACAAAAATTGAAACTTTTGATCTATTTTAGAAAAATATACTTTAAAGCTCTGTGAATGAAGATTGCAAATGTGTCACACTGCCTTCAACTGGTACAAAATATCCAGCAAACCACATAAAGAGAAATCTGTATTTCTCTTTGTTGAAAAGATGTAGAATACAGAATAAGTACTTCACTCCCCATAAATGTTCACATTATCTACACTGGTGGTAGTGGATGCTGTAGTATCTTTCAGGTAAACCAACCATGATTCATTCTAGGGTTGCCTTTACAATCAGTGAGAGTTTTATAGCCATTGGTTGGCAACACGTGTGTACATACAAATCTTTGAGTTAAAATGCTAATTGCTATTATTTTCCGAACAGCTGAAAATTGAACCACAAATTTTTCTCACGCTATAGCATGTCATTTTTAAAATCTGGAATATTCTTTAGAATAATGCTTATGTTTATAAAGCTACATCAAATGGTATTTCAGAATGAATGTGTCAGATGATTAAAAAAAAAAAAAAGACCTGCTGTGAAAAGACCATTCCAAGAAATTAAAACAAAAACAACAAACCCCACCCAATACCATGTAAAACCAGGTTACTCGAAATCTGTGTTACTCTACACTGAGATATTACAGAAACTACATCAGCCCCTCACCCATAACTTCCTCATCCACAGCACCTTCAAATGTACCTTATGCTCAATAAGGACAATGTTACTTTTTACTATGAATATTTTTCTTTTCTTGAAGGCACAAATTATAACCTGCTCTAAGTGTCAGTTTCTTAATAATAAAATGAACTAATATGTTTTATGGGGAAAAGTTTTAAAAAATCAGTTTGCCAAAACTCCTGTGATTGTACTAACCCCAAGAAGAGTTTAGCGTATGCAACTTTTGAAAGCATGCTAACAAGATTTATTTTAAAGAACCTCTTTAACTGGTATTAGTATTCTGCTGATGACAGACATCACATTCATTTATTCCTTCATGACTCAGTGGAATCACATTTTCTTCTTAATCACAGGTTAAAATCACGTTTTAAATGACCATGCTGTTCCTTATTTTTTTATTTCAAACAGAAGTTCAAAACAACTGGGACTCGTGAAACACCTCGGTGTTCTTTACACAGAGTGACGTTTTCTATCTCTTGTTGCAGGAAGGTCAAAACACACACAAGCAAGCATCATCACAGCAGACAACGGATTCTGAGTTCAATAACTCCTCAGGCAGATTAGGCAACACTTGTTATTAAACTAACTACAAATCAAAAGAAGTCTCCATATTTTTAATGACTCACTACTACAGTGTCAACAGGTACCAAAGGGACAAAGAGGGGTCTTTGCTCTAAACTCTGCTTATCTCACATCTGCATCTATTCCTTTTCCCATTGTGGAGATGCCCCTTTCTGAGATAACCAGGATATTCTCACAATAGGGAGTCTAGATTTAATCACTGAACTTTTAAAATGCCACACAATGTAGGTCAAGTGAGGATGTGTACCTTTCTTCTGAAACAAAGGGATTCAGGGTAATAAGATTTCAGATTTCATAGGAGAAACAGCAAAACTATGTTTTGAGAATATCATTTACCATAACACAAATCAATATTAAATGCTTTATGCAGGAAGCACACTTTCAGAAAATGGGCCCTAAAGCTTTCTGGAATCCAACCCTAATTACTAGAGCAGGCTCTTGCCGTTTGTCTCTCTTCAATTATTTACAGGGGGGGGGAAAACGCCAAATGGCATTGCATTAGCTGTATTAAATGCTATGTACTTGGTTTCTAACTTATTAATGGTACATAAAAATTACTAAGGTAAATGTGCCATAGAAACATGGCTCTTTTTTTTCCTTCTTCACCTGAGTGTATTTATTATTTATGGAGTTAAGTGTTGAATAGGCTGTCCTTCAGGCACCGAAATGCTGCATAATTTAAACAAGTGCATTAAATATATAACACATCTAAAAGGTAGCACACTGATTACACTACAAAATTTCTTTGAGCAGCTACAATGTAACACACACACACACACACACACACACACACACACACACACACACACACTCACATTCAGGACCATCTCCTTCAAGTTTCTAAAACAATGATGTGAGAACCATTTGGAGAGGAACAGTGGTACCCTGGCTGCTAGACCCTTACTGCTCCCTGGTGACCTAGGTAAGGTAAGGTGGGAATTGTGAGAGTAGCAAGGAGGCCTTAGAGTGCTGGGAAATTTCTGGCCTCGATGCTTACAAGCGTCCTTTTTACATGGACAAATACTGGACAATGCTGTTGGTAGAGGACATCATGGACCACACACATTGAAAGAAAGAAAAACTATAAAGGTTGAATTAGAGATTCTTAGTACCAGACCCAAAATGCCCATCTTCCAGTAAACAGGGCTAGAAAGCCCCTAAAGAAAGTTCAGATACCATACCTGATTCCTTTGTGATCTAGAAGGATGTGCTAGACATTAACTATTGAAGAAGGTGGGTGCACCCACCTTCACCTTCCACCTTCCCTAATTATAGAATTTTTTCCAAGCAGAGAAAGGCACATTTCATGGACCAGATAATGTTTAAAATTAGTTTAGAAGATATCAAACTGTTGTAAAATTAACACAGGCCCACTAACAAAGTAACAGGGGTCCCTAGAAAGCCAATCGCAATTTGTATGGCTACATGTCATCAGTTGTCCTTACCCAAGTGTGTGCCAAGGCCACTTTTGAGAAAGGAACATTGGAAATCGATCTGTGGTAAACATATAAGGCAGTTAAAAAAAAGAAAAAAAAAAAACAAAAACCTAAAAACTAAGTCACTTCTTTCTTTGCATCGAAATATCCCCATTGTTCCTCCTTTGCTACAGAGAAGATTAAAAGGGACATCAATGAATGTGAAATGAACTTTGGCCACTTTTCTACCCAAAACACCAGCGTAAAAGTAGAAATCAGTAACCAGGTGAAGTGCCACACCGCACAAAGATCAGAGGCGAGGGGCGGGCGCGCTGGGCCCGAGGCGGGGAGGAGACTGCCCGGCCCCCCTCCAGCCCCAGACCTCGCGCGCGCGGGAGCTGGAGGGGCTGGGGGGGGGGAGCTGCGCGCCACTCCGGGCGACGCCGAGAGTTACTGGCCGCAGGGCGAGGCCGGGAGAAGAGGTCGGAAAGCCGTGACTCCGCGGGTTCAGCCGCGGGCCCCAGGCGTCGGCCGGTTGCCATCGGGGCTGGGCGAGGGGCGCCGCTCGGCCCTGCGACCCTCCCCTCCTCCCGGGCCAGGAAGGAGCCGGCGGTCCTTTCCTGTCTAGTCTCTCCCCCCGCGGCTCTCTGTAACCCGATCGCGGGGATCGTTCCCCGAGAAGCCGCCGCCCCGAGCGCAGCCCGGCTCAGCCCAGGCCAGCGCTATAGTTAGCAACCCCAGCAACTGCGCCGGGGGCGGCGGGCCGGGTCGCCGGGCGTCCCTCCCCGGTCCGGCCCCGCGCGCTCCTCCGCTGTCCCTCCTCCGGCGACCCTTCCCCGAGCCCCCTTACCTTCGCTTGCAGATACTGGGGGTAGTAGTAGGTGGCGTACTGAGGGTACATCTGCTGTTTCCACACTTTGCCCATGAAGCTGGAAGGGAGCCTGCGGTGCAGGGTCGCCGACACTTTGGGTTTTGCAAGTCCCGATCTCTCCTGCCTCTCCCTTTCCGGAGGCGGCGGCGGCTGCCTCGGCCGCTGCTGCTGCCGCTGCTCCACCTCCCAGCCGGGACCAGACGACGTCCTCCTCCACCACCTCCTCCTCTTCCTCCTCCTCCCTCTCCTCCTCCTTCCAGGCAGACAGAAAGACACTGCAGAGCGCAGAGGACACCCGGGACAGGGCGCTCCCAAGGAGTTTCCTCTGGGAGCCCGACGGTGCCGGAGCTGCCAAGGGCTGGCGCACCGGCAGCGCTGCGCTCAGGGATCCGGCTGAGCCGAGCCGGCGGCGATCAATACGGGAGGAAAGTGCGGCGGCGGCTGCGCTCGGTGCCAGGCAGCATCTGGGGTGGGTGCGCCCGGCAGCCCGGGGGGAGAGGGGCTGGCTGCCGAGGCCGCGGGGGAAGGGCGGCCGGGGGCGGGGCTTGGGCGCCGCGGAGCCCGGGACCCGCTGGAGGTGAGGACTGACTTTCCACCACTCCTCACCTCTGGGGCTCCCGAGGACGCGCTTAAGCCCTGCGAGCAGCGGTCGCTTTGTGTCGCGGGCGGGGGTCGGTTTGGGGGAGCCTACTTAAGAACTGCCCAGAGGGCACCTCTTGCTTACTTGAGTTTTCATTTCGTAAGGGGGAAGGGAGGTAAAGGAAAAGAGGAAATCTGATTAATCTCTCACTTCCCCCAATCCCTCGCCCAGTGATTATTTTTCCCCCACAAGGGAAGGAAAATGCTTTAATGCCTAACCTCAAAACTGGAGTCAGGACACCTGGGTTCCATTCCACTTCCACACCCGGCCACAACACTGATTTTCTAAGTGACCTTGGGAGGGTTGATGTCCTTCGATTTGGTTTTCCCTGATGTGAGAGGTGAAATCATGCCCCGTGCACGGGCCCGGGGAGGTGGGGGACCCAAAGCTCAGCACACACACAGACACTATACAGGCGTCTCACAACAAACTGAGGGATCCTTCTAAGGGGAAGATGTCGCAAAGGCAGAACGTTATTAGAGGACACAATGTAGACATCAGCTTTTCTCTGCCTCTTTCTAATTCTGCCAGACAGTCTGCCAACTCCCACTCAGGAGCAAGGAAACTCCCTGAGTTTGGAATATTTTAAGGCCATTTTGAAAGTCACGCTGGCATATTGTTGCAGTGTGCTTCGGTGACACATAAAATCAATCTCTCTTTCCACTTCTCTCCGTCTCCTAATTGTCTCAGCTCTAGACAGCCCCAGACGAGCAGCGGTTCAGTTCACTACATAACTGGATATAATTTAATGGAGTTAATTGGTCCCTGAAGCTGCCTGAAGAAGACGTTTATATGCTAGCTCAAAAAGACAAGACCACATGTACAATAGGATGGGGAAGAAAGCATCCCCAAATTGGTGTCCTTGCACAGCTGATAGAAGGCAACAATGGTCATTTATTAAACAGACCTTGATTGCTTTTTCTCATTTTGGTTTTTGAGAGTCACTTCTCAACACAAGAGAAATCCAAAGGAACAGAGATATATTAAACAGTCATATGATTACATTTTAAGACAGGCTTTGAAAAATGATAAAATGATTATCTAAAGCCCTTATCTTTATATTATTTAGACAAATTTCTAGGCCATACTTTTTTAATAAAAATAAAATAGTTGTAGTTATTATGAACATATTTTGAACACTCCAGGAGGTGATTCCTGTCCACCTTCACTCATCCATATGAAATCTCATGAGTAAACTAGATTTGCTTAGTTTCTGCCACATGCTCAGCACTGTTGAGGTTAATGCCGGCCTGCCGGTTAGAGTGGTTCACGCTCTGCTAGGAGAGCTTAAAGCATTCCTCATACCTTGCAATATAAGACCTTTGGCTTGTAAGCAGAGAATGTATACAAACTAACTGATGTCTCAGGGAAATGAGGGAGACTAGGAATAATGGTTTTCGAAGAGTGACTGAAAGGAGAGAACTAAGTTGAGACCAAGTGCAGAAGGTCTAGGTCTGAAAGACACAGGAAATTGCCAGACTTCTACTGCTGTACTTACTGATGGTTTTTCATCTAGATGATGAAGATCCAACCTGTTTTCAAGAGCCCCAAAGCAGACCCAGACTTATATAGATGTCTTGATTTATGACTGACTGAGTTAGTATTACAGAGCAGTGGAGAAAGAATAAACTTTTGAATAAATGATTCTGGGTCAATTGGTTATCCATATGGAAAAAAAAAAAAAAAGGAACTCAAAATCCTGCCTCACAAATACCAAAGGTAGGGGAGTGCAGCTGCATTAAAGATTTAGAAGAGCTGGGCATGGTGGCACACGCCTATAGTCCCAGCACTTGGGAGGCAGAGGCAGACGGTTCTCTGTGAGTTCAAGGCCAGCCTGCTCTGCATAGTGAGTTCCAAGACAGCTGGGGCTATAGGAAGACCCTGTCTCAAAAAGACCGAAAAAAAAAAAAAAAATTTAGAGTGAAAACACAATCATGCAGCTGTCAGAAGACAATAAGGATGAAGAGCTTTTTGACCCTGGCTTGGGGAAAGATTAATAAGGTAAAGAAGAGGGCAGAAGATTATGTAGATCCTTGTTTCACAGAATGAACCAATAAAGAGTAAGAAGTAAACTACACAATAATTAATTTTACAAATAATTACAAACGGCTAATATACAAAATATGCAGAGATAAGAAAATAAGTAATCAATAAGAAAAAAGGCAATTTGTTAGAATATAAGTAAAAGAATGAACATGGGGCTGAAGAGATGGCTCAAGGGTTAAGAGCACCAGCTTTCAGAGGACCCGGGTTTGATTCCCAGCACCCAGCAGCTAACAACCATCTATAACTCCAGTTCCAGGGGATCCGACACAGATGGCACATGCAGGCAATATACTCATACACATAAAATAATAATAAATAAAATATTTTCAAAAGAATGAATATATATTTCACAAAGAACAAATATCCAATCAACACATGAAAAGATACTAATATTTAGTAAGTAAAAGGTAAATTGCAAAATAATAGGGTGTCATTTCACTCTTTTTGTCCAACTAAGTAGAATTAAGAACTCTGAAAATAGTAAGAAGGAAGCAGGAAAATTCTCAAAACTCTGCTCACTGGAAAAAGTAAGTTGATACAACCACCATATTAGAATATAGTTTGACATTATCCAGCATTATTTGCATTAACCCTACAATAAAGTTACAGGTGTGTACCATTTAAAAATTTTTCTACAGGTGCCCCAGGAGAAATGTACAGGAAATTAATAAGACACTGAAAAACTGGGGATGGAGAGATGATTCAGTGATTGAGAGCACTTGCTGCTCTTGGAGAGGACCTGGGTTCAGTTCTCAGCACCCACATGGGTGGTTCACTATACCAGTTCCAAAGAATCTGATGCCCTCTTCTGGCCCTCTTCTGGCCTCAGAGAGGGCACCTGCACTACTGTGCATATATCCACAGTCAGACAGACAGACAGACAGACAGAGAAAAAAAAATGAAAATAATTTTTTTAAAAGCAGCAAATTAACATTATGTAAGGCATGATTCCATTTTTATGAACTTCAAGAGCAGAAAAAAGTAAGCAGTATGCTGTGTAAGAACAGGCATGGGTGATTTTTTTTTTTTTTTTTTTGGTTTTTTTGAGACAGGGTTTTCCTGTAGCCCCAGCTGTCCTGGAACTCACTATGTAGACCAGGGTGGCCTGGAACTCACAGAGATTCACCTGCCTCTTCCTCCCAAGTGCTGGGACTAAAGGCATGCACCACCACGCCTGGCTTATGAGTGATCTTTTAAACCATAAATATAAACAAGGGGATGAAAGCGCAAATTCAGAATGAGATTCTCTCCAAGGGAGCAGAAGAGGGGGGGGGATGCTCAGGAAGAGACTAAAGGGGACTTATAGATCATAATGTTCCACATTTTACCCTGGATTGGAGATACATGAGAATATATTTCAATATATTCTGTTTAAATAATCCATATATTTCTTTGTATTTTTGTTACATTTCACCCTAAGACATTTCTGAAACAAAACCCAGCTTTTATTTTTAAATGTGACTTTTAAAATAGTAAATATAAGAGTATAGATGGTAGAATAATAACATTTCTTTTCCTAATACTAGATTCAACTTTTATCATTTAGTCAGTCTTGTATCGTGTGCTCTCATTCATATTTGCACACACATTTTTATTTTCCTGGAGTGATTAAAAAGAAATTCCTAAAGTCATCATTTCACAGGTGATTTTTAGTACCACCCATTAACAAATAAGAATTTTCTGTAATGTTATCACACCTAATAAATTTAGCAATAATGTGTTAACATCAGTTAATTCTCAGTGATTGCTTATTTTTCTTCCATTGTCAAAAAAAATTCCTTTTGTAGTTTGCTTATCTAAATCTCAATGAAATGATGTCACATATTGAATTTGGTCTATATGCCCTTTTAGCTTCTTTTAACATAAAAATTCATCCCTGCTCACTTTTTAAAATTGATAGTTATTTGTTGAAGGATTTGGATTATTTGAATTTTCTACATGGTTGGTTGAAACTTCATGGTGGTGTTTAAAGTGATAGTTCTAGAGGGTTGATTAGATGCAGATTCACTTTTGGATCAAAGAACACTTCTTAGATGGTATATAACAGACATTGGGGATGTAATATGGTTGACATCAGGAGACAGGTAGTCTGACTGTTTCACTCTTATTGATGTTATTAATGTTGAGTAGAAGTTCAGGTGTTAGTAGTTTGACTTACCCATTATAAAGTTTCCCATCAACCTCTCATGGGCTAGTTTTTAACATTCAGAAGTTACCTAAATGTATTATTTCAGTAGGAGTTACAAAATTGTGGGTTTCTTGATTTTCGTATTCCATATACACTTACTAGTTCCAAAGTGTCTATGGAGAAGATCTTTCTTCAACTTTTTGGTTAATGAAATAGTTTTTCCTTTGTTTTTAGGTAATTACATGGGAAACTTCATAATCTCGATTTCATGGACTTTAACCAATTTAAGTTGCTTCAGTCTTTTTCCTTCATCTTTCTTGAAGATGCTCTAATTGTTCACCTTTGATCAATGAGAGCACCTGGGTTCATTTTTGGTCCCTTATGCTAGACCCACATAGTCATCTATATTTGCTGTTTTTTACCTTTTAGCATTACAAGCCTGTCCCAGCTTCTTGTACCATTTTGTTCAGACCTGAAGCAGCCATTTCTATAAGAAAATCATGACACTTTTTTAAAAAATAAGTGAAAAATAATAACAAAGTTAAAAAATAAGTTAAAATAATAACAAATACATATTCTATGTATTTTTCACATTTGGAACAAAGAGCTTGTGAAAGATTCCTAAAAAATTTGGTGCCTAGATGACTCCTTGAAGAGAATAAGCCACTGAGTTCCTTTCCCCAAGAGAGTTTTATGATTACACCTTCATGATTACTGATTTCTATGAGCAGGACACTGGGGAAGCAGCAGACCTGGTGCATGCTTTTATGAGACTAAGGATCAGGGACCGTAACAGAGATGACAGTGATAAAGCAAGATAAAAATCAATGAAGAGAACAACAGTTTAATGGAAGGGGACTGACTTGACTGTGGGAACCATGTTGGGAATTTTAAATCATCAGGGGAAAGCTCCTCAAGGAGATACTGTAAGAATGGTCCAGTGGAAAGAAGCTTGCATGGGGTGAAAAGTTTAAGGCTGTGTTCCTGCAGAAGACAACCTGGAGGCAGAAACTGATCCTTCTGGGATATCCAATCTGGTTTCTTTTCATAAACAAAGGTAAACATCTTTATTATAGTTAATCAGAAGTGGACTAAACAAATTATTTTGATTAATGCCTTTTTTCTGATGTCATTTGCCTTGGAGTAATGAAATAACTGAAGGATAAAATTAGCCATTTTGTAAAAAAAAGAAACAAAACAAAAATTTGTGCTTGAGCATCAGTGGTTTGTCCCTGGGATTTAGATCACTCACAAGAAGACCTCATGCAGAGCATGGAAATCGCTGTGGTAAATAGTCTTATTTCCATACTCCATAATGAGGTGATATCTGTAATACACTCACAGAACACTTAAACAGAAAGCCCACATAGTTTCTATAAATTGAAAATATAATGGGCATGTGTGTATGTGTGTGTGTGTTAGAGTTCTTAGCTAAATGAATAATGTAAATAAAGAGAAGCAATGCCTTGAAATTATCATAAAGCTTTGCCATAGATGGTGAGTTGTTTTACAGTCGTCAAGAAAGGTTATTTATAAATCTTCTGTCTGATATTTATCCTCAGACTTCACATTATGGAGCCCTGAGTTAGACATGTCAAATGTTACATTTTACCAGGGATGATTTCATATGCGTACAGTTGAGCACTTGAGTGGTGAAGGCAGGAGGACAGTGAGTTTGAGGCCACCCTGGGCTACATAGCAAGACCTGTTGTTCTCAAAACAAACAATCAAACAAGCGAACAAAACCAACCAACAACAAAAAAACAACCCCCCAACACTTTGAGTCATTGCTAAAGAAAAGTAATTTCTTTATAAATAACAATATATATTAAAAAGTCATGAAGACGAAACACAAAATGTCAGAGTTCTTGCAGGGTTCATGTATCACCAGAGTTTGAGAAGCACTGTTCAACCATGCCTCTTAGCATAACTCATAACACTCCTTCCCTAGACCCTTCCTGTTTCCCCAGATTCATTTCTTTCCACTCTGTTACCTCTTGGCTCACAGTGCTCTTCTCTCATCCAGACCTCCTTCTAACCCTCATTTTATATGACTCCAACCAACTTTGAATGGTTGTAAACCCAGTGAACCTTCAGAGTTCTTCACCTGGCTCACTATTATTCTTTCCTTGAACTTGAACTCCTCAGAGACTTCCTTCAAGTAGGACAGAGCATCCCTCCTGTGAACTGCTCTCAACTTCAGTCACATGAACACACAAAAAGTCACATATTCCTAACAAGAAGGAATATGATTGGAATGCAGTAAAGATAGAGTTAAAACTGGAGAATTCCAGGCATAAAGATTAGTATGTGTGAAAAAGTTATGTGGTTGCACAAGTATGACTGAGGAATTAGATGAAATTCATGATGGCTTACAATTTCAAGCACATGTTCCTATGGTTTTACTATTTGACCAAATTAATGTGTTGAAACTTAATCCCATTTGTGGTGGTATAAAAAGGTTGAATCTTTGGAGATGATGCCATACCACGAGAGCTGTATCCTAACTGTCTTAACTATTTATTGCTGCTTAATTGTTTCCTGATTTATCCACTCCAACAACATTCATTATCTCACATGGTTTCAGAGGGTCAGGAATTTGGGGGTGACTTAGTTGGGTGGTTCTGGCTCAGGGTCTCTCAGGATATCAAGCTGTCACTTAATACACTTTCCTGAAAATTTGCTTAGAGGGCTGGAGGGTCCACTTCCAGACTCGTTCATGTGGCTATTGGCTGATACCCTCTGTGTCTTGTGTGAGTCTCTCTGTAGGGATGTTCAGTCATGACAGGGAACTTGGCCATATCCAGAGTGAATGTGAGAGATGGGACGGGGGGGGGGAGAAAAGTTGGAGTGTTCTAACAGCCTCATTTCATAAATGGCTTATGCTTAATTCTGCCATGTTCTCTGAGTGATAATGTAGCAAGGAAAACATTACACAAGAAGGAGAGGTGTGGGGGGAATTGGAGGCTGTCTCAGATGCTGACCACCACAATCATGTGTACCAACATGTTCCTATTATTGCTTTGCTCAGTATACCTGCTCATATAATAAACACTGTATGCCACATGAATGTTAATTCAGAAAGTCACCCATTAAGCAGTTATTCACTATTCCTCTTTTCTCCAAGCCCCTGGGAACCAACTGTTTGTTTTTTCTTTCTGATTTACTAATTGTAGATATTTCATATAAATGGAATCATGCAACACATAACTTTTTGTCAGTCTGCTTTTGCTTTGCGTTATGTTTTCTTGGTTTATTTACAATGTAGGTATCAATTCCTTTCAATGACCAAATAGAATTCCATCACGCATATATACATATGTCACATTTTATCTATCCATTTATTTGTAGATGGATATTTTATTTCTTTGCATCTCTGGTTACCATGATTAGTGCAGCTACACTTGTTCTAAGGCATTTGAAGGAACACTACTGATTTTGAGATACTAGTGAATATCTAGTGAATGTGTACAGCAGGTATTGATATCTGTGATCTTGAACTTAAGAGAAAAGATCAAAGATGGGGATAGACATAGGAGTTAGTCATAGTATTTGAATTGTATCAAAAATTAAGAGGGAGGGTCAGATCATCTCAGAGGAGGATGCACTCACAAAATGCAGTGGACTAAAGAAAAGAATAAAGTCAAAGTGTTAATGTGATGCAAGACTTGGCTTAACCTCCAGGCATACTCTGACTTAACACCATGGGTCTTCTTGGCCACACATAGCAGAGAATCTCCCTTGTCATTGACCACTAGACTTTGTAGGGCCATATAGCTTCCTTCAATAACCTATGAAAGATTTAAAGCCATTTTTATTATTAATAAATTTCTCCTCTCTGGGTGGTCAGAGTGTTATCTCTGGCTTTAAGAGCTCACATTCAGTCTCGTGGAAAAAAATATTGCTTTTTAGTGCTCCATGATCCAAATAACTTCTCAGCCATCTCTTCCGTTGACTAAATAATACAGCACTTTCACCTTTTAAATATTTTCTAATACTTGTATGCATTTTCTAGGTCTCCTATAATTGACTACATCATGATTCAGTTGAAGAATCTAGTAAGTGCTATCACATATTTAATAAACTATATGTCTACCAAGTTCTTATATCCACCCTCTTTTAAAGGATTACTATGTTTTATTATTATTAAAAGGAATAAGACAAATCCCTTATTGACTTATCAGTATCTTTACCTTGTGTTCCGCTATGATCACATGCCCATTTATTTATGTTTATGTCTGTATTAGCATTTCTCCCATTGTAACAAGAAAGACTGTTTGAATTTCTAAACACACGTTAATGTTGTCTTCACATTTTTCTATTAAAATCTTTTGTTTCACAAATAACTATAAGAACCCTTTCGATTTTTCTCTCTGTATATTTAAGTGTTAATAATCATGTCATAAATAGTGTCTTACTAGAATTGAGAATTTTCTCAATTCTATTTTGTCACTGATAGGGAATATTGAACATCACTAGGGATCTAAAATTCACCCTAGTATGGTAGCTTTCAATTAGATTGACACTAAGCTGTTCACCTGCACTTTGGGGGATATTATTCTCCATCAAATTACGCTCCTAGGATTGCATGAACCTTTTTTATGTTTGCAGCCTTCTCCCTCTAATGGATATTGGAGCATAAGCAAGACTGTAAATCTGTCTAGAGAGCTAAATTCCATCTCATATGAACCTCAATTGTTTCCATTTCCTGTATGCACAATGCAGAATGCAGTGATTGTAAACCATCCAATCCTTGTCAGGACTTTCTGCGTTTGGTATATACTCTGATCGACACAGCAATGATTATGAAATGCAAGTAATCCTGTGCTGTCAAGATGCGTGTGATGAAATTTTTTGCACGTGGAGGATGCTTGGCCTTGGGGGAGGAGGAAATCTAATCTAGCATTCAGAAGAACAGTCTCTGCGTCCTGATATTTAGAAAGAAGTAAGTTAGATGTCTGGGTAATGTGGTTACAAGGATGTGCATTTACCACTGTACAATCATTAGAGTACCTCCACTCTTTGAAAGGTTGCTTTTTTCTGTGCTCAGAGAGAAACTAGCACCCCATAGTGAGTACTGTACAGAAAGACTAGATTGACTGGTAAATGCCAGGTTATCTACTTATTTGGCCACTTAGCAAGACCCTGGGTAATTGATTTTGGCAGAGAATGGGCGATGTGTGAACTTCCAGAACCCAGTTCCAGTCATTTTCTAGTTGGCTCACATTTGACTTCCACGATTATCTTGCACTTGGTATCTCTCACACAATGTCAGCCACTTACCAAACGTTATCCCTCTTAATCCCCACAATCTCCCTGCTATGTAGGTTACTGTGTTTGCATTTGCAGATGACAAGACAAAACTGTAAGGTTACATCTTGCCAAGGCTTCCGTGTGGAGAAATCAGGATTTGAATCGAATCAATACTCAATGCAATATGGTTTATTATTTCACAGCAAGCAAAGAGCCATGGGAAGATATAAATGTTCAGTTTAATGTTTAATTTTATAATTAATTTGGAACTTAGCATACTTAGGTAAATTTTCTGTAACGCTGTATTTTCATCTACTCTCATAAAAGTTTCTCCTGATCTGAACTCATATGTAGCTATAATTTTATATAGTAATAATAATAAAGAATTTCAGGTTCTACCGTTCTTACATATTATCTATCTCTTTCATCCTTTTACTGTAATACTGGGGTCAGACTCACAGGCAAGCACTTTACTACAGCGTCATGCCTCCAGCCCATTTCTTTTTTTATGTACATTTTCATTTTCATTTTATATATGGTATAGTTTTTGTACTTATAATTTTAGTAACTGTACTATAAATAGTAAATATTATGTGTGCCAGCGAGATTTTAATAGTACAAGTATACCTTACTTTTGAAAATTAGAATGGACAGATATAAGATAGCAAAAGAAAAGATGAATGTTTTCTAAAAGAAAGGGTTCAATATAAAATCCCCTTAAAAGAAATACTCAGGGGGGCTGGAGAGATGGCTCAGCAGTTAAGAACACTGACTGTTCTTGCAGAAGACCCGGGTTTGAATCTTAGCACCCACAGGGCAGCTAACAACTGTCTGTAACTCCAGTTCCAGGGGATCCGACAGCCTCTTTTGTCCTCCACAGATATTGCACGACATGGGTACACTTACGTACATGCAGACAATATATGCATACACATAAAATAAAAATAATAAATAAAATATTTTTTTTGTAAAAGAAATACTTAGGCTCAGCAGTTAAGAGCACTGGCTGCTCTTGCAGAGGCCCTGAGTTCGGTTTCCAGCATTCACATGATGGCTAACAATTGACTGTAACGCTAGTTATCGGGGAACCTGACACCTGACGCCTTCTTCTGACCTCCTCTGGCATTGCATGACATGGGTGCACTTACATACATGCAGGCAATATGCCCATGCATATAAAAAAAACTAATAAAATATTTTTTTTTAGTGCAAGTAAAGAAATACTCCCCAACTGAAACACCCTTAATCCCAGCACTCGGGAGGCAGAGGTAAGCAGATCTCTATAAGCTAGAGGTCTACATAGTGAATTCCAGGCCAGCTAGGGCTACAGGGAGATCCTGTCTCAAAAAAAGAAAGAAAGAAAGAAAGGAAGGAAGGAAGGAAGGAAGGAAGGAAGGAAGGAAGGAAGGAAGGAAGGAAGGAAGGAAGGAAAGACTACCTTTCTCCCCTTGGGTCCTCAGAAAATTAACTTTCTCAAAATTTAGAGTAGCTCCACAAGTTATTTCTGCTGTTCTTTCTAGCATGACCATGGCTGCTACATGGTGTCAATGGAGGCTACCCATATGTTTGAGGTGTTGTTCAGTTACAGAAGCACACAAGAATGAAGAATGTGTTAATTTACAGGCTCCTGTGGCTCAATAAAAGCTCAGAAGGGTTTTTTTCTTTCCTCACTCACTTTCATGAGCCCTAGTTCAAGCCTTGCTGAAATAGTAGAGTCTTCATAAGTCTGGATGGATGCAGCCGTCTATTCCAGTGCACCCTTCTGCTTCTAGCCGAGGCCACACCCAAGCCAGGCTAGACAGATGAGACTATTTTTAACAGGATCCAAGTCCTGGGAGTGTCCCTCATTTGCTCAGCAACCCCATTTAATTTTTACACTGTGAATGGAGAACCTCTGTGTATTTCTTAAAATTTTGTGGCTACTATAGTAGATCTCTTTCATGGATTTAAAATAAAAAAATAGTAAATAAAGATTAAAGAGAAAACAAGATGCATTGTAGATTTCCTGTGGCATTAGGTATATTAGCATAATGCCTTGTTACAAAACTAGAACATGCTCTGTTGAATACCTTCTATGAATAATCTCAATTTTTTTCCAGTAGGTAAAGTATCTAGAGACATTTTACTGTAAATATAGGTGATTGTGTTTAACAGAGAAGATAACAATATGCTTCCTTAATCCCCCAATGTGATTTCATTCTTGCCTAGTGAGATTATATATGATACACAATAATGACAGCCCCCTTACCCCTTCCACACACAGAATATAGCTTCATTGTTGTTCATTGGGGTCAGATTGCTTTGAAGAGAAAACAAACCAGTACTTACCATTCTGTTCATTTTCTGCTAATGGCCACCCATCAGCTTTTATTTTAGTGTCTTTAAATACAAGAACCTTGACTGGGGAGATAGCTTAGTTGGCAAAGTGTGCCCTACAGGCATGAGGATCCGAGTTCAATCTCCACAGCTGACATTAAAAAAAAATCTAGATGTGACGGGGATTTTTAATCCTGGCACTGGTGAACAATGAGAAATGATAACTGAGGTTGTCCTCTGGGCTCCACGTGCATGCACACTCACACACATTTGCAAACACACACAAATAATGAGGAAAGAAACAAGCACCTAGGAAGCTGAAAACTGAAGAAGGCTTAAAAGGACAGAGATGGGGCTGGAGAGATGGCTCAGAGGTTAAGAGCACCAAAATTCCCAGAACCCACATCCAGCTAACCATCCATATCTCCAGTTCCAGGGGATCTAATATACTCTTCTGACCTCCGTGGGCATTGTGTGATACATGTGCACTTATTACATGCCAGCAATATACTCAGAGACATACAATAAAAATAATAAAGAAATAAAATAAAGGACAAAGACTAGACAAGGATAGAAGTGGACATTTAACCCATACCTGATGAGCATCCCTCCTCAGCTTCTTCATATGCTCTCTGTGCAGCCCAAGGCTACAGTTCAAGTTCTTGGTACTACATAGGAGTCTTTCTCAACAGGGAAGACATGCTTTCCCACAGCATTATGCATTAATTGCTTTAGACTAATTCACATAATAAACCCATCCTACGAAATGGATCCTTTCCTCTGGTATCTACATTCTGATAGGTTTCCTCATTTCTTTTTCTCATAAAATTTCTGCCTTAAAGACCAAAATGTACACATTCCCCCTTTGTTCCTGTCTTGTCTGCTTTTTTTTGTACTGAAACTGATACACATCCACAAGTACTAGATAAGAAATGTCTATCAGATTTAACCATTCTGCACATGATTAATTTTGTTATGAGAAAAATAGAATATGTTTTCTGGGTTTCTCTGACAGCTGCTGTAGGAAGCTATTCCTACATGTCAGTTTCTGTGAAATAAAGTATGTCTTGGTTGAAACAATTGTTTTCTCCATTTATGCCTCAGCACCTCCTGAGCTTTTTAGGAACACATTTTCATTCTTAAGAATATGACTAATATCACTTTGACTTGTCTTGATTTATTCCCTTGATTTATAAAATCCGTATGACAAAGATATGATTTTATTTTGCATGTTGTGATAAATTTTGAAAGCGGCAACATTAGTGAAAAAGAGAAAAAGAAGAGAGTCTGAGTCAGATAACATAAAAATAGAAACAAACAAAAAAAAAAACTCAGACAAAACAGAAAATAATCTTAACAGGCTCTGGTAAAAGTCATAGGAACTCCTCAAGGGAAATCAAATTTTGTATTTTACCAGTGTTCAGGAGTCAGATGATCTACAAATATTACTGAGTGGTTAATAGGCCTTCATACTCAGAAAATTTAATAAAAGATGAATTTGCTGATCTTATGAAACTATAGCAGAATCTTGACACTGTGTATAGACATGGCTCTTGTGATCAGGTATCTGGAATTAGGTCAGAATTAGGTTTGAACTCTTGCTCTATCTTTATTTATCTAATTACTTTTCTATTCTATACCTTTTCTATTAAGGTATAATAGACAAATAATAAATGTTATGTACTTAAGGTGCATAATGCATTTTTTAATCTCTGTCTCTCTTGTGAATAGATTGCCACAATCAGTACCTCACACAGTTAGTTACCTTTGTGTTATTGTCCAACCCTTGCTCTGAATTGCTGTGTGGCCACATTAACTTCAGTGTGCCTCCAGTTCTTCATTATAAGATGAAGAGGTTGATAATAATCCCTACTCATAAGTTATTGTATTAAATGAATTTATATGTAAAATCACTTAGAAGAAGCCTCATAATACAACACTATACATTAGCTATTATTACTATGATTAGCTGTGATTAGCTAAGATATAAGAGCTCATTGCCTCGATTATTACCATGATCTTGGTAAAATCTGTGGCTAGTAAAATCTGTGGTGTTTAAAAATATTTGTCACAAGAATAGGAAATGTTCATAGAATTCCAGATAACACAGGAACTCTTGGGTGATATGTGAACAAAAGGAATTTACCTTTACCTGGTCCAAGTTCCCACTCTTCTGTGACAGACTAAGTCCTCAGGTTCAGTTGCTGTCATGAAGAGTCATAGACGCCATTCTCAGTCTTCTTGAGATGGACAGACCTGCACAGACCTGATCTGATCAGACCTGCACGGGTGGGGTGGGCAGGGCCTTTTACCATCCAAAGTTTCTCGAGTAATAGAGAAGCCACACATAGCCTAACCTCCACTTGTCACATTCTCCACTGACCTTGGCAGTTTCATCTGTGTCCAAGATACTTGGTTAAGAAGTTGCTAAATTACAAACTTCTTTGGATAGCATGGAGCAGTCAACAAAAATTAGTAGGTTAAGAGTACTGACTGTTCTTGCAGAAGACCTGGGTTTGATTTCTAGCACCCACATGGCAGTTAACAACTGTCTGAAACTCCAGTTCCAGAGGGTCCAATGCCCTCTTCTTACCTCTGTGAGCATTGCATGACACAGGTGTACTTACATACATGCAGGCAGTACATTCACATACATAAAATAAAAATAATAAAAAAAAGTAAAATATTAAAGAAGAGTTGTTCAATTTTAAAGGACCATAGCAGATTTGAATACCTTCTTGCTTTGGGTATTTATTGACCTATTGAATAACTTTATTGACTACTCCATGTGTAAGAACTTGGTAAAAAACTCTGGTTTTTCTCCATATGGAAGTTATACTCTGGTTGTTCTATTTTCCAGCTGATCTCCACTATGATTTAACCTACTTGAAGTTTCTCTGTAATTCCAAAATCAATGCTTGTGGCACTTTTATAGTCATTTGCACATGCCTGCAGAGTGGTGAAGAGTCGGAGTCCCATGTCACGAATGTTTTCCATTGCACAGGTCAAGGTTCTGCCTGCGTGTTTGAGCTTCCATACTGTGAGTACTGCCCTTTTTGCAGTCTATTTGTTGCCTTTTCTTTTTCTTTCTTTTGTTTCCTTTTTTTTTCATATTTTTGATTTTGATTGTTAGCTTCACTATTCAAAATAACCCCAATTCACAGTGCTAAAATACTATCTGGAGTTCCTAGATGCAAGAAAACTGTGCTGTGTGGTATGGATAGAATGCATGCTAGATCTGTTTCTTTCAAGTGAGCACTGTGTGCAGTAGGCAACGAGTGCCGTGTTAAGTCGATGATATTACACTTGTAGAAAAATGAAGAGCGAATCACTAATCTGAACAGGAGACTGTGTAGAGGGGCTGAAGTGACATCCCTAGCAAGCGATGAAGCCATGCAAAGTAGTTGAATTTGTGGACTGTGGGATAATGTCTTATGAGACTAATAACCAAAGGAATCAATTACATTATACTGGGTAAGGAAAATGTTAATCTCCTCTAGACTAATACGTTATTTTAAAAATATTTTATTTATTATTTTTATTTTATGTGTATAAGTGTATTGTCTGCATGAATGTGAGTACACCGTCCCGTGCAATGCCATGAAGGTCAGAAGAGAGCTTTGGATTCCTCTGGAACTGGAGCTAAGGACAGTTCGTAGCTGCCATGTGGGTGCTGGGACTCAAACCTGGGTCCTCTGTAAGAGCAGTCAGTGCTCTTAACCACTGAGCCATCCCTCCAGCTCCACTAATATGTTATTATAAGTAAATACTGCATCTAATTATTTTAAAGTGCATATTAAATACAGTATCTTTAAATAAAGAAAACAAAAGTGTGACCTGATCCATTAAGGAAAGTATGAGGCAAAGGAACTTATCTACCCCTGTGTTTCCCTTAGGAACTATGGCTCAGAATTTACTAATTCTGTGTGCGCAGCAATCTTCTAGAACATACCCACCTTGAATAACAAGGAGTATACATTTTTTTCAATGCTGCGCATGTTTCTATTGGAGTAATTTTGTGCCCCATGGGATATCTGGTAGTTTGACTGTCATGGCTGGGTGGGAGGGTAGGCATGGGGAGGGGGAGCTACTGGCATACTGGAGGTTGTTTACACCACCCAGGTGCACTTAAGTTTTTACAATACAAAAGACAGCTTCCAATTACACATAAGCGTTCCCTTAAAAATGTGGAAAGTAGCAGAGCTGAGCAGCACCAGGCTGCATAACGGGCTGGGGAACTAGTTCTAGAACGGGCCAGAGAATTACCATGCTCACCGTTGAGGACCTCATGGACTCTCACAACTACTCAGCTCTGGCATTGTAGCCATTCACAGCATCATAGCTGACGATGGAGTGCAGCTGTTTTCCAGCACATTCTTTTTGTGAGAAGAGTGAGTATATTGGATTTGGGCCTGGATTGCAGTTGGTGGACCCTCCTCCACAATGACTCTTAGTTCTGAATGTTCATTACAAAAACCTAGGAACTTCTTAACATGAACATTGCAGGTATTCCATTCCTTTAAACTATGACTCCTTGGTCTGGGCTGGGCTTTCCAGTATACTGGCAACGATTAAAATCTCCCGTGAGTTAAACTGCATAGCCAGCACCAAGGCCACTGCTCTGAAAAAGGTGGTGTTTGTGTATTTGGGAGTGGACCTAGCACTGCAGCCCCTTATCAGCAGTCAGCAGACCTTTTTCTTGTGATCTGGCTTTTGTCCCAGGCACTCTCCTGAAAGTCCCCAAGTTAATGCCTTTTCATTAGTTTTTGCTGCTCTGTACGCAGAGGCTCCTGTTTAGAAATACTCAGTGCTTTCAGGTGCTGTGCCACTCCTCCCTCACTGGCTCCCTTCTGAGCTGCTTACCACATTCTACCTTTTGCTTTCCACCAGCTTCCCTAAGGCTCTTCTGTCCTCTGAAGTGTATCCTGGCTCTCCCCCGAAAATAAGTACTATTCATGCCACCATCTTGTTACGACCTCTCCAGTGATGAGGCTTTAGGAGGCCACCTGGTGATTGTATTCTTTATAGGGCTCATTGTTGTAGAAATTAGAAATAAAAAAATTTCATGAAACTGACAGGTTTTTTTTTTCATATATCAACTCCTACTGCACAGTAACTTCCACAGAATATTTTTAAGGACTATAATCCTTACTGTAGAACTGTCTTATCACAGAAATAACCCCAGCATCAAGTCATCTGGGGACTCTGTAGCTTACTTTATTCATTTAGACCTAATTTATGCTGAGAAGAAAGTCATTAGTGTATACAAAGTTAAAGGCTATTTAATAAGAACAAGTGCTATAAATACCAACTTAGCTTTTCATGTTGCTAGAACACTGTTAGAGTTTGGTGCTGTACTAATGAGACACTCACTCATTGCCAGACAGATCAGACAGATCTTGGCAGGAAAAAGGTGGAGCCTATAAACTGTGCAACTGGCAAGAATTTTAAGAGGGTCTATTTACAAAGAGAGATGTGGGCAGGTGTATATGTTTCCCAGGACTGCTGTAGCCAATTGTTCCAAAACTGATGGCTTAAAACAAGAAAAACATATCTTCTCCTTGCTCTGAAGTTGGGAGTCAAAACTTCTGTTGAGCCTTACTACCACTGGAAGCTTGGGGGGAATCCTTTCCTTGTGTGTTCCATCTTTTAGTGGTTGCTGGCATTCCTGGATTTCCCTGGCCTGTGACTATATTTTTATAGTCTCTCACTTCATGGTACTACCTGCTCTGTCCATATCTTCTCTTACACCATGCCAAATCATTGGATTTAGGCCCCACACAGACAGCCAAGAGTTATCTCCTCACCTCAAGGTCCTTATTTTAACCACATCTGCAAAGATTCTTTTTCCTAATAAGAATGACTTTTAAGGGTTAATATTGGGCATCTCTTTTGAGGCCACCATTCAATGCATGATAGCAGGTCTGGGGGAACCTTAGACTGGTGAGACCCTATGGGATCTCTCTTTACCACAATTATGCCTGAAGGAGGAGTAAAAGGAGCACTCCCTAGAAGCCAGAGCTAGTTGTACACTGCAGGCAAGGAGGGGAAGAAGGTTACCTCACAGCACTGTAGATTTAAAGAGAAATTCAGTTGACATGTAGGTCAACATAAGGAGAGTTAGGGGGATAAATCCCCAACTTTGTTTTCTTTCTACCCTCCTGCCTCCCATGGTCAAATCAAAGCAGATGCTAGAGAAAAAGAAGATGCCAATTGATGAAGTCCAGAAGACTATGAAGGATCTGGAATGGCCACCAGAAAACATCCTGTACATTAGGGTATTGTCATTCCTGAGGAGGAGTGGGGAAGTCCTCAAATTAAAGGGTCAAAAAAGGCTGCATTCACAAGTGCAGCAGTAAGTTTAACTTTGCTATATATATAAAATCCAATGAGAAGATATTTCTTTTTTTCTGTAATTTCAGAACAATTCACACTAGTACTGAGACATACTAATTACCTCCGTGCTTTGGGAAAAGAGCTATAAATGGAGTATAAACTATCACAGACCTTCCCACACGTAGAAATAGCCTCATTACCATAAGCACCATCATCATCATTATAATCTTACTTCCTTTATTATATTCCGTGTATGCCCCCAAAACATATTTAGGTGGCTTATGAAGGAAGAAGATATGCATCTTAAGGACAGTGAAATAGATGTAGAAAATCAAGACCATGGAAGTGACAAGAGAGCAGACATGCCAGCCTGGAGGGCTAGTAATGCTGTGTCTGAGCCACAGCAGGCTCTGCTCTGCCTTCCTGCCTGCCTGCATTTGTTAGAGCTGCTCTGTCTGCAGTTCAGTCTAACAGAGCTTTGTTTATCTAGTCATGAGAAGTTCATGACTCATGACTCCATAAAGTCCGTCTTTCTCCTGATCACTCAAGTCAGTTCCTATGATTAGAAAAGAGAAATCATTTGTAGAGCTGATACAAAAACACGCAACATTGGGGGTGGGAAGGTAAGAAATACTAAGCTGGTGAAGAGGAAACAAAGTTAAGGTCAATGAATGTCTACTAGCTGCCAATTATTTCCAGATGTTCTCACCTCTCTTTTTTTCTAGTTATTTGTTTTATTGAGATATACTTATGCATAATAAAAATTTAGCCACTTTGTGAACTTTTGCTTATTTTTGACATATTCATAGCTATAAACCCTTACGACCATCATGACAGAGCATTTCAGCAAGGCCCATGATTTTTCCCTGATTCCCTTCTCCCAGCACGGGGCTGGAGTACAGCTGAGCTGCTTCTCATCAATATCTTCTTGATACAATTTTTGATCAATATAGAATTACACATGTATATATAAGATCTTTTGTTTTTATCTGCCTTCACTTAGTGCGGCACCTTTGAGATTTATGCATTTCATTGTAGGTACCATAATTCATCCCTTTTTACTGTTGGATAGTTATACATTTTAAAAATATACCACCATTTATTTATCTATTCAGCAAATTGGTAGATATTTGAATTGTTTCCAGATTTTGGCAATTATGAATGGAACTGATATGAGCATCTGCGAATGAGTCTTTGTATGATCGTACATCTATGGTGTTCTTGAGTAAGTATAACTAGTGTTATTAGTGGGTTATATAGTAATGCACACTTAACTTTGTTAAAAACCCACCATACATTTGGCTTTATCATTTCACATTCCCACTGGCAACGTGACTATTGTTTCACGTAACAACACTTACCATTGTTCGTGTTCTTGGATTGGACCCTTCAAGTTCGTATGTGTGTATGTGTGTGCTGGGGGGTACATTTTTGGTTTTTTAAAAAATAACGATATTAATTTTTTTACACTCTTTGGTAAACCATCTGCTCAAATCTTTGCCTCATTTAAAAAAAATGGGTTTTGTGTTTTATTATTGAGTCCTAAGAAGTATTTCTGCTTCAAAATAAATTCTTGTTTAAATGAATCCTTTAGTGAATTCATTTTGGAAATATTTTCCACAGTTATGGAAACTAAATATTATTTATATCATAGAGTTGTTGTAGGAATGAAGTTAGATTATATAATATGCAAATTCTCTAAAACCTAACAACCATGTATTAAATGTGAATTATCTTCTTATATCTCCATCCCACCAAAAGAGTCAAATCCCCTAGAAAGACTGAGGACGATGTAAGCAAGAGAAAGCATCTTGGAGGAAATCACTTCGGACAGAAGAAGAGCAATAAGGAAAACTGAAGAAGATTTAAATGTGGACAGTAAGGATATAATCAAAGGACAGATTATCCTTTTGGAAAACTGAGAGATGGGGAAGAAGAGAGAAAGCAGTAACCAATGGGAGGCAATGTGTACAGTGGGTAAACACAGGAGTTTGCTGCTTGGGGTTGCAACCCAGCTTATAAGCTATGTGATTATGGGCAAGTTATTGGATGTGCCTGCAGCAGAGCAGGGCAGAGAGCAAGTCCAGGCCCCAAGGGAAGTAATAAGACTTGAACTGGGAAACACTTCAGATTTGCAATGAATAAAGTATAACAAGAGCAGAAACCACAGGAATTCTGCCAGATATGTCAACTCCAATGATGCTTTCTGCTTTAGTGAACTGTAATGCGAAAGCCTTTTCCCAGAAAGAGAAAATAAAGGGCAAAGTTGGGGACTGTGTTAGATTTCGCATTGTTGTGGCCAAATACCTGACATCAACAGCACGGGGTAGGGGGCTTGTTTTGAATTACTTTTCAGAAGTTTCAGCCCAAAATTGACTGGATGTATTGAGATGGTCATGGTGTGGGAGAATGTCATGGCAGTGGTAGTGCTGTGACTGCTCACCTCATAGTAACCAGGAAGCAGAGAGACGGGGGAAGGTCCAGTGTGAGACACCCTTTAAAGACACAACCCTCCCCAAAGATGCATTTCCTTCAACCATGCCCTCCCTCTAAAATTCCACCACCTCCCAAATCTCTTATTCAGTTTTTGAACTCATCGATGACTAATCCATTGAAGAAGGCAGGGCCTTTATAATCAAACCCTTTCCCCAAAGTCCCTCGGCTGGCAACAAACCTGTGGGGAAATATTTCATAATTCAAGCTATATTGGACTTAATGAAAATGAAGAAAGTGAGGAGGAAGAACAGTGGTGAGACTCAAATAGCCACTTGGCAAGAATGGCACTGAAAAAGAGCTTAGAGGGTGTAAACTAGAAAGAGCATTCATGAACAGGTATGGTGACCTCCTCTGAAGGCATTTACCAGCCTGGAAACAGGAAAGGGTAAAAACAGAACACAACTCACCAAGAGCAGATAGTGACTGGCAAAACAGCAAATGTCTAAAGGATTTCAAATTAACGTAATGTTGAAATGGTCAACCCTTTAATGTACATGATATTATGGATAGGCTGAAATTAAAGAACTAAGTGCTTATGAACACATTTTCTTTTTGTAAGAAAAAAGAAGAAATAATTTTAAGTGGCAAACTTTTAAAAAGTATTCTTATTGATTTTTTGAGATTTTCATTTTCATAAACTGTACTTTGATCATATTCAGACCTCCATCCCCATCTCTATCCTCACTACTCCCTTGACTTCATGTCCTCTATTTTTTAAAAATAATTTTATGTGTATGAGTGTATTGCCTGAATGTAGGTAGGTATACCCGTGTTGTGCAATGCCAATGGAGGTCAGAAGAGGGCATTGGATCCCCTGGAACTGGACTTACGGAAGGTTGTTAGCTGCCATGTGGGTGCTGGGAATCAAACCTGGGTCCTCTGTGTGAACTGCCAGTGCTCTTAACAGCTGAGCCATCTCTCTAGCCCTCCATTATTTTTTAAAGGCCTACCAAGTTTAATTTGTGTTTCCTGAATGCTCTTGGACTGGGTCCATCATCCATTAGAGCCTGGTCAACCTTCCTGGCATTACACCTTTAAAGAAAATGGATTCTCCCTCTCTCACCAGCTATCAATTGCCAATAGTTCCTCAGCTAGGGTTGGGGTTTCTTGTTCACCCCTCTCCCCCATGCTGAGATTTTGTCTGGCTTAAGCTTGTGTAGGTCTTGTGAATGGTGTCATAATTGCTGTGAGTTCATATGTCTAGCCCCCTTGTTGTCTGGAACACACTGTTTCCTTGTAGTCATCTACTACGTCTGCCTCAGGCAATCTTTCTACTCCATCTTTTTCAATGATCCCTGAGTCTTAGCAGGAGAGAGTAAGCATGTGATATAGGTGTCCCAACTGTGGCTGAGTGCTGCACAGTCTCTTATTCTCTGTACATTGACCAATTACAGGTTTCTGAGTTAATTGCCATCTGCTGCAAGAAGAAGTCTCTCTGGTAAGAGTTGAGAAATGCATTAATATGTAGATGTAACAATAAGTCATTAGGAATCTGCTTAATACTATGTCTATTTAGCAGGATAATAGTAGTAGGTTCTCCCCTGTGATTTATGACCCATGAAGTCACAGATAATCTTGGCCCTGATTATAGTGCCAGGTATGGGTTCAATCTTGTGAAGTGAGCCTTAAAGCCAATCAGAAAAATAGTTGGTTACTCCTCTAACATTTGTGCCACTATTGCACCAGAGGTTATGTCTTGTCAGACCAGTCATTATTGTAGTTTGCAAAGTTCATAACTGGATAAGGTTGATGATTACTTTTCTGGTAGCAAGTATAACACTTTTTAGCACTATGAAAGCTAACCAGTAGAGATGAAGCTTTGAGATCAGTAGCAGCTTGATTTCTCCTTGTTTGTTCTATGATGCTTATATGTTATGTCTTCAGCACTAGGGTCTTACTGTCAAGTTCTGATCAGTAACCAAGAGCAATGGCAACAGCCTATATTGTTTGAGCGTCTATGGGAACACCCCCCCCCCACAGTTAACAACTCCAAAAGAGAGAGTCCATTCCTGGAATGGGGATATTTTCTAGCCTGTGATATATAATATAGGCATTGCCCCTTGTTATAGGGTAACTCAAAAAAATTGTTAAAATAAGTGGCAAGTTTTAAAGATTATCAAGATGGACCAGACTGAGTAAAACAGGAAAGCTAAAAATGTGGAGACTCAGATATCTGAAGTGTGTTGATAGCCAAATGAAAATACAGTTGGACGGGAGGATGGATGAATAGATGGAGAGATGGATGGATGAATGTCAAATGGGAATTTTCTAAAGTTGGGGGTATTTTAGAGTTGAGATTTTCAAGGTAGAAAACTTTGGAGGTTGAAGTACATGAGCTTGTGAGTATCACATGGAAGAAATGGCAAATTCATTAATTAATGGAGGAAAGGGCTAATTTTAGGAAGGGCAATACTGAGGGTTGGAACATGAAGATACTTACATGTGGTAAGAAAGAGTGAAGCCTCCAAGAAACACAACTGTGTTGCAGAAATTTCTCAATTACATTATTTGCCCAAACATTCCTGAAAGTGCTTGATAGGTCTGTATCTTCTTGGTCATTTCTTACAGTTACTTCTAAGTGCATTTTTGTATTATCATCTATAACTGATGTCATCACTATATTCATAGTACATCCACACTGTGTTCTAGAAAATAAGAAATTAACAAAACCTGGCTTGAAGCATCTTCTTTCTCAATCTCAGACATTAACAAGCCTGCTGGGAGATCTAGTGAGCTGTCTGCCTGTGACAGAGGCCAGAAAGAATGGAAAACAACACTCTTCCCTTTGTTTCCTGTGAGGACATTTAGGGCATCAGTCGAGTGGAAAAGAGAACTTATGAATATTTCAGTGCTGGTTAAAAGGCAAACTTTGACTTTTGCTTCAAGGTGCTGATACATTTTTATTTATTTGCACTCTGATCCCAAAAGGTCTTTATAACATAGATATAAACCTGTAGAAGACCTTCTGGGATAAGCCAGTAAAATTTGTAGGAGGGTCTGACTTCCTTCCTGTTCTTTCTACTTCTAGAATGTTAGGTGAAGTTGTATTTGGAGAGTACCTAGTCTTCAGAAGCCAGCTAAAGTTAATGGTACATAATTTATCATGTTAAAAAAATATTGACACTGTCCACCTCAAAAGGTTTAAACATTTATTTAGATAGGGTCTATTTCTTCTCTTTCTATGTAAGTGGGTAAAATATGGTCACTTAATATCTTCATTACAAGTAATTTGCAGCACATACACAAATAACTGAGAAGTTAGGCATCTGTATTGATAATTCAAATTTCAAAAGGAGATTCTGAGAAAATGTCTTACCACTTATGTGGTCCAGACTGACTGTCTCCATTCAATACATTCATTGGATCAGTGCTTAACTTTCCACTTTCCTTTTCTGGTGAAGTCACGTATCATATGTCCAAAATGGCTAGGAGGAATCATGAAATTTATGCATATATTCAGAATTGCTTTTCAAAAAGGACGGAATATGTTCAAGAACTATTTATATTCTGAGCAAGCTTTGACTCTGTATATATTACGTGTACAGAAAACAATCCATTATGAGCATATCTTGTGTCCTGTGCCAAACTGCTTGACCTTTTGATACTGATGTCATGCCTATTCATATTAATAGGAGTTAAAGATACCAAGAGGACCAAACATTGATGCCAAGAATGCATGGAATGGTTTCCATGGAGCACAATGGCATGATTGTCTTATGGAACAAAATTGAAAAGAACTAGAGAACGGGAAAAGGGTGTGGCATCTATAAAAATGAAAAACTTTATTCATGGATTCAAATTTATGCTTAAAATGAATTGGATGTAATATTTCATTCTCAGTTTTCAGGCAAAAGTTAGAAACTAGTTAAATAGTGATAGAATTTTCAGAGTAATTTGGCAAACTCTCTGGGAATTTTCCTCTCCTCCACCTGAAATATTCTCATTACCCATTTTATTCTTCTACAAAGGATGAAAAAATATCCTGTATGTTCTCAACCCAATTTTTTAAAAAAGCTTTCTTCCCTTGTCCTTTTAATACTATGATGTGGCCAATCTTCACATTACCTTGTAAAGCTGCCACTTCCCCAACACATCTGGAAGGTCTTGTAGGTTGAGTCTCTTACCATGAAGTACCTAATTTGAGTAATAAAGAATTGGAAACAAATCATTGTTCAAATGATAGTCCAAAATATGTTTTTTGTCTTCCTGTCAGATGGGTTAAATGTTCTTTCTGTTCTGTAATCATAATTAAATCTTCTATTGGCATTCTGTGAGCACTGCAAACCAGAAAGTAGCTTTAACCCTATAATGACAGAAACACCCCCTCTCCTGCCCAGGCTTCCCAATGGCCTGAGTGCCACTCCAAGGACTGTGCCCTGTGTTAAGTTCAATTAAGATGACTTTCTTATGCCATGCTACACTTAAAATCATTCCATAGTTTACTTTCATAATTTCTAGCTCAAACAGTTTTCTTATGGTGTCTTCCCCACTACATTTTTAAATAATATCTTTCTTATTCTATTATATAGATTCTATTTTTATTATTCCCTAAGGGTCCTAACTTCCTGTTTGAATTTGCCTGATTTCTTCTTCTGCAGAGTAATATATTCATGCTTCTGCTTCTCCCAACCTTTACCCCGGATCTCTTTGGAATAATTTTGTTTCATTAGAGTTATAGTTGAGAGTGCTGTTTTC